TCCAGAAGATCTTTTTTTAGGGTTTAAAATATGAAAAATGTCTTGGATTAATACTCATAATAATCATACAAGATGATGTTTTCAGTGGACCTACTAATAAGGCTATACTTTCAAAGAGATATCTAGTATTATTTTAACTTTTGATTACAAGAAAAAAACTGTTTTGTTTTAAAATAATTAAGTAGAAAATAAAAAATATTATTGCATCCATAAAAGAATTAGAAAAAAAACAGCATTTATTTTATGTGAGTGTTCTGAAATTGACATCTATTTTCTTTGTTTCTTCATCAGTTGAAAAAGACTACTTCCTGTTTATTTCCATGCTCCTCCACATTTTAGAGTCCTAACATACCATCCATCAAGGAAAGAGTTAATATATATATATACATATTTTTAAATACAACTACAGATTTTGGAAATACTTGTAAAGATTTTACTTGATAGGATTTAACAAATCTTTACTGGTTGATGTTTTCTTACAGAAATGGCAAGATATAATCAAAGAGGTGAAATTTCTTCGACATGTAAAACACAAGAATGCAATAGATTATAAAGGATGTTATTTAAAAGAACATACAGCATGGGTGAGATTTTTTTTCCTTATCATTCTGTGTAATTACATATTAAAATCTAACAAATTTATAGTTGTGCTGAAATGCTGATATATATTGGAAGTTTGTAGACGTTTCCTGTGAGAAATGAAAAATTCTGCTGTTACCTCGGTTGGATTACAACTTCATTAACTTGTGTGCTGTTATGTGCAATCGTTACCCTATCATGTTAAAATATTGTTATGTATAACTGCACTAACAAAACGGTTCTATAAGAAATGTTATTAACTTTCTCAACACAGGCTTCGTTGATTTGACTAACCACGTGACCTCTTTGTACTCGTTTAAAGTCTTAATAGATTTGATAATACTAACTTTTAATATAGTATGTATATCTTTACAACATCTGGCAGTCTTTCAGTAAACATTACAAGTCTTTCACATAAAAAATGTAATATTTCTTAATGAAGTATTTTAAAGAAACTAAACAAAAGATTTGTCCTTGAATATATTGAGTATTTGTTTTG